CCACAACCTATGCCACTGGGACACCACCTCTCGGCAAATGCGCCGCTCACCGATTGGAGACCACTTCAGCTTGACCCACGAGCCTGCGAAAGCGGCTGCCACCACTTTCTCGGGACTCTCGGGCATGGCTGTACGCAGTCAACACTGGCCCTGGCTTCAACAGCCGCCTCCGGCCCTGTACATATCAAACCCCTCAATCTGGCGACTCCTATCTTCTTCTACAACTGGGGATTATCAAAAGTGGCCTTCCATAACTTTGACAGTTTAACATCGCAGCCACCATAATAGTCGCCCACACCGAAAACAAAACAAGCGAAGAATCGATTGAATACTGGGCCTTGGATGATAACCCAGTCGATTGATTTATTGACATGACGTCGGCGTAAAGGGTCCTGCGCAGTCACCTCCAGTCTTGCGCCGTCGGTCAAGGATTTGTTTACACGCCCCACAACTGACCCTTGTTCTGGTGCTGTTACTATTTCTGACGATGGACTCCTGCACGATTTCGAGAGCTCAGAATAATAAACAAAATGTTTCGGTGTTCAACCATCCCTCTTCACTTATACTGGGGATTAGGCCCAACGTCTGTAGCGCTCTGAGCACGCACTCTCACCGCCAAGCCACTACAACCTGGCGATCAGTCTCGTGTCAGCTTAGGTCGCACATAAATTCGGCATCACTTGACGGTAAAAAGAACTGGTCTGCGGAGTCAGCTGTGTGAAATTTCGTATGTGCGATCCGCACTCGCGTACCATAAACAATGAAACCATCGACCCAGTGTAGCCTCGCAGTTGGAAAAAAATGACTGAGTCGCCGATGTACTTGAATGTAGCTTCGGAATGTGCTAGCTGCACAACTAAGCTTGATACAATTGTAGGCAGATCAGAAGGTCGTATTAAGGAGGCGACTACCTACGGCAACACGCCACATGCCATCTATCCAAGTTGATAGGTCGATAAGAATTAGGCAAGCTGCGGTTAAAAGCGCACCGGTTGCTCTTCGCTGCATCACTGCGTACTAGCTACCAGGCCGGGTAAGGATTGGGTGAACGCCCCTAAGCATATGAGACCTACAATAAATACCTACTATACTTAATTTTGCACACGGTTCAGAAAAAGAAAGAAGGAGTAGATTTTAAAGACATGTTTGTCTAGTAAGTGTGTCCGCGCCTCACAAACACACAAATTAAGAGCTATCATCCTAGATTGCATCCTCCTCATCGTGTGATAGGTCAGACTGTGGCTCCTCGTCATCCAACCTTTCGCGTAGTAATGCTCCTCCGTCAACCTCCGATCATGTTTTTTCTGTTCTCACACTCAGCCACGCATTCCAGGGGTGGAGAATGAGTCATCGGTTTGAAGACGAGCTTAAAAAAATAACTACCACTTTTGGCAGTCAAAGAAACGGATTCAAACAAACAGTATATGAAAGAGGGTGGGACAGAGGTGTGGTTTTTAGGTGATGTGATTCTCGGCGGAGAGATTGAGTCAGATATTGTCCTTACAGTATATGTGTTAACCCATGAAATGTTACCCGAAATTATGAAATGCGTTTTCGACTAGAAAAATAATTTACGTAGGGTTGTGATATTCATTGATGTTAAAAATAAGCCAAATATTTTACTTTTGGATGCTAGCGTGTGAACGAACTTCATTTGGCTGCTCGCAAAAACAACATACTGTAACAAATGGCTACCTAATTAGAATGAACTTTCTTTATCGATTTTCAGTGCTCTTGTAAACCTAAATATATTGCTTATAAACATGCGTAGAAACATTTATTTTTTTCAATTAGTAGGTAGAGGTTTACCTTTTCTTTAAAATGTATGCTTGAAGGAAGGGCATTATTCGGTTTTAAGAGTTTCTAGTTATGGGATATTTTAAGACCACGAATCGCCCGTTCATAAAACCCCCTTTATCGGAATTTATAATTGTTGCTCGTAAAGTTTACAGTATAGCTGAGATCCACTTCTAAATTTTGTGAAACTTATATGCTTTCAACTTAATAGCTGGTAGAAATGTATGATTTTCCGTACATGGACAATACGCAGGCCACAGTTAGCAAATCCTGAATGTAAGTGTAACGGGAGGTCAGATTCAAAATTATTCGGGAACTGAAAAAGTTTGTCAAAATAAAATTACATTCTTCCTTCGAGTATAATATTTAAAATAGATGTAATGGTCTGCCAAATGAGCAAAAGGGCGAACATTCTTATGCATGTTTCTTGTGAAATATATCTGAATTTTTAAGGGCACTGAAAATCAGTGGGAAGCATTCATGCTAATTAAGTGGTCATTTTTTTACAAAGTGCAGTTTTTGCAGGCGGCCGGAAAAAGCTTCGCTTAAAATCTGGTATTCCAAAGTTACTGAAGTGTCTTTGGACTGCGCTACACGTTAATTAACATCAAAAGCTTATCTGCGCAATTTTCCAAGTCAAAAACGCATTTCATAATATCGGTTAACGTTTCATGAGTTAGCACCTCTACTGTAATCGTCGTATGCCACTCAGTATTGGTGTAATAGGCAGAAATTTTAATTTTATTGGGGGGCCGGGATGAGCATTACAAGATGTCGTGGTTACTGTGGTCTCCCGAAGCCGCTGACAATAGCTGAATGTCTACGTATGGCGGCATGATAGTGTTTACTAAATACATCTATGCATATGTTGAAAACTACCAATACCTTAGAGAAAGGCGGCTGACTATATGCGTTATTGAACCCGGTGTAACCTCCTCATCGAAACATACGTCCACGCCATCGACGCCCTCATAATCTGTCAAAAATGCATACGTATAAAATGGTCATCTGGATAAATGGACATCCGCTGGAGAATGTCCTAAGGCTGGATGTGTAAAGTTAACATGAGTGGGTTCTCACGAAGCAGTTTGGAGTGGCCTTAAGGAGAGACTAAAATGAGGGTATGCAGAAAGCAAAAGTAGGGAAAGTCGCTTCCTTAAACCAAGCATAACTGGACTACCCACGAATTCAAAAGACTGATACATTTGTACCATATCAGCTCACAAGACACGGACCTCTCACAAACCCAACTGACCTAATTGGTATCTATGAAGATGAACACAAATCAGAAAACCAGCGAAATCCAATAGAAAACAGGCAACTGAAGACAAGACCACGAGTCAAAACCACGCAGCGTATTGCCTCCATCAAATGCCCGATTTACGCATTTCGAACAGTAGAGAAAGTTCATCATGACGCTACGAAACCCATGCTGAGCATCAGGTAATATATTATGGTGGTCTAAGAAGCGCTTAATTATTTTTTCCATAATTTTGCAACAGATGAAGGCGAGGGTAGTTTGTCTGTAACTATTTACAGAGACATTGTTGCACCTTTTTATAGCAGTGTGATCCGTGGAGACTTGCAATCGGTGGGCAAACCGTGGACAGTGGTGTGGCTAGTTCGACAGAGGGATTCTTTAGTAACATAGACCGTATGTCGCGAAGACCCGGTAATTCACAGAAATAAAATGACGTCAGGCCCATCCATCTATCATATTAACGCTTGAATGCGAGCAGTTCGGTCCGATTTTATTTCTAGGGATGCTTTTGAATTGGGTTTCTGAAGTAGCGCAAAAGAGGCAAAAACGATATTGATAAGTCTAGCTGAATTCGTATGGAATTAGACGGTGGCTTGAACTAGAAGTACAATATTTTGCCAAGTGACGCTAAATAATTCCTATTTGTCAACGTCATCAATAAGAAAACTTTCATCATTCTTAATCAAGGGGATATTTCCTTGCCATTTTAAAAGAGGACCAACGAGTAAGGAGTTAAAAGGGTATAGATCAGTGAGAGGAATTGATGTTTGTTGTCTTTGTAACAAGAGAACATTTTCGAGGGTAATGAGAAAATTCCTGTGAGTTATGCATGGACAACAGAACAGATGTTGCACACTACTTGCAGCTGCTAACGTAACATCCTGAGCCAATTAGAAAGAAATAGAGGAACTGTGGGATGAGAGGATTAAGACTATAGAATTCAATTAAATACAAATGCTGCGATGACTTTGAAAGTAAATGACATTAAATCACCAAAAAATTAACAAAGTTAGAAAACCGCCCCAGCCAACTTATATAGGAAGGGTGCTTATAGGGTCACCTACGAGATTAAAGACTAAATAAGTTCCAAATGAGTCAATAATGTTGTTCACCGAGATCAATTTATCTCAACAATAAATTATTACGTTGTCACTTTCAACAAGGTTCGGTCTAAAATGAACGAAAATGTGAATGATGTCGGTGATAAATTTCAATTTTGGAATATAACTAGCCATTTCTAACGAGGGGGCAAATGGAGAGACGTTGAAGTAGGCAATATTATGTTGAGAGAGGCAAAAGCGTTCTCGCAAATTAATTCAAACATTTTGCAAATTTATTCGTCATACAAAGATTACAAACAGGGAGTAAAGTAAAATAAATGGTCTTTCTTGTGAAAAAGGAAAAAGGATGGGTGAGTCGTGTTCCAGAAATCCCTCTGAACAAAAAACACAAAGAGTAACCGATATTACTAAAAGTTAAAGAAATTCTGAAATGAGTCGTTATAATAATTATTTAATGGCGTACGTCTGTGATGTTTTAGACACACAAAAATGTGGGTTTTTAATGTTTTTTCCCATCGACTATCGGAATAAACCATACAAGGCAAAAGTGGCTGTTTAAGTACCATGAATTTTGACCATTAATTTTTATGGCCATTAAA